ATAATAACTCCAAACTGAAATTTTACTGTTCATGAACCTAGTGTTCATAAGTAGTAGAATGAATAAATAGTGTTGTATTCCTATGAAGGAAATCTATACTGCAACGAACAAGAACATAATTGAATCTCATGATGTTAAGCAGAAAAAGCTCACCACAAAACAGCACGTGACACCTAATTCAGTTTTTATAACATCCAGGAACAGGTGAAACTAAATGACGGTGTTCAGGGATTCATACTTAGATGGTCAAAGGAAAGGAAGTAACTGCATTAAAGTCGGGGAAAAGAGTTGCCTTAGGGGTTAGTGAAACAGTTGTGAATGAGAATGGTGGGTGAGAGGTTTCCAAGGTATCCCCAAGCCTCCTTTTCTGGATAGTGGTTAAATGGTTGTGTTTTATAACAATATTTTAAGCTGTTCAATAATGTTTTATGAACTTAGCATTATTATTACTATTAGTTACTATTTTATCTTCACAGTATATGACATTCGAGGGTAAGTGATGAGCAAATTAAGAGAACCGAATTGCTTGGGACTCTTTAAGCAGCAAACAACAAAGTACAGCCTAACTGAAATAAGCAAAAAAAAAAAAAAAAGTAATGTATTGGCTAATTAAAGGGGGGTGGGCAAGCATCCTAGCTTCAGATAAAGATGAGATCAATACTCACACGCTGTGACCAGGTTCTGGTTTCTTTTTATGTCTCCAGATTACAAACAATCCCTGTGTTACAAGGATTTTGATGTATGAATTTCTAAAAATGATAGCACGAAAGCAATATGTGTTACATAGGAGCTGTACTTTGAAGTTTGAATTTGAGCTAGTGCTAGGTGGTATGGTCCTGAGCAGCTGCACTGAGCCAAAGCTCCAGCCAGCCATGAGATCATGAGGGTGAACACTCCACAGTGTTCTGTGTAGCTAAGCGAGGATGTTTGGTAGGTAAAGTGCATTCAATGCACTTTTGATTTACAATATTTTTTACTCAAAAAGGATTTATCGGGATGTAACCCTATTGTAAGATGAGGGGCATCTGTATAGCCCTCCTCTTTCAGGTCTAACAGAAAAGAGAGAATTTGTTCTCCCCACAGTTCAATCTAAAGCTCTGGTGTTTAGTCCCACTCTGATTGTCCTGACATGGGTCACCAGTCCTTCTTTGGACTAATCATTAAGGGAGACAAGATAATCTGATTGATCCATCCATGGGCAATGGGCAATGGACCACATGACTATCATAATTCAAGGTAGCATTAGAAAAGGGAAAGAAAATCACAACAGTGGGGAGAAAGCCAACATGTCTTTGACAGTCAACATCACTCTGTTTAGTTGAATGTCATCATGCATGAAAAACAACACAATTTTTTTTTTTAACTACTCTTATCTCAGTCTTCATCGGAACTAAGACAAAGAAAGTAAGGAAGTGTCTGGGTAGGACAGAGGTACACCAGCTAAGATTAAATCTGAAAACAACAACAAACATACTTTCTTTTTTTTCCTGCTGATATCAGAGATTCAAGTCACAATTACTCAGATTGATTAAGAGCAAAGCTGGGGAATAGGGATGTGGCCCAGCTGAACTGCGGCAACAAGTAAAACTTCATTAGACTCTCAGTGGGAGAAAAAGTTGTAAGCAACATGTAGAGGACAACTCAGAAAACTTGAGTATTGGCTGAACAGTAGAAGATTTAGGGAATTACCCTTTATTTCCTTAGGTAATTGATCATTTGGGAGAAAGCTCTTACTTTTAGAAGAGGCAAGCTAGAATACTTAGGGATGGAGTGTGTTGATACCTACAGACTACTCTCAAATAGCTTAGCAACACACACACACACACACACACGCACACACACACAGAGCAAATATGCAAAATTTAATAGTAGTTTTATCCAGATGATGTATATATGGATGGTCATTATGAGATTCTTCTGTATGTAAATGTTGGGGAAATAAAAATTATTTTCAGGAAAATCTGAAAAATTCAGCCTTCGTCCTCCAAAAAGGAAAAAAAAAAAAACAATGCTGATTTATTTCTTTACTGTCTCCTCCTAAGATCTCAGATATTAGTTCTGTACTAGGTGGAAAGAGATAAAATTATTGGGTATTAAAATAATATAAGAGGGGCTGTGGTTGTAGCTCAGCGGTAGCATGCTTGCCCAGCACATGTGAGGTTCTGGGTTCAATCCTCAGCGCTACATAAAAATAAATAAATAAAATAAAGGTATTGTGTCCATCTACAACTAAAATTTTTTAAAAAATAATATAAGCTCTATTGCTTTTCCAATTATCCATGAAAAATATTTATGCAGCACCAACTATGTACATGTATCTCTTACTGTTAATAGGGTATTACAGTTTCATCTCTGGCATTATTACAGAATAAAAGTTGTCAACCAAATATAAAAGACAGAAGGAGAACTAATACATTTATGGAGGGCTTACTTTATATGAGGAATATTAGCACATCTCATTGCATTTATTTTTCATAAAAACCAAGTGAAGTAGATACTGCTATCATTCTTGTTTTACAGATGACAAATGGAGGTGTTTGTAAGTTATATACACTTGGCCCACGGTCCCACAGCTGACAGGTAGGAGGTATCTGAATCTAGGAGTGAATGAATCTCTTCTCTTACCGTGCTGGTGGGAATGTAAAATGGAGGAGTTGATTTGGAAAACAGTCTGGCAGTTCCTTTAAAAGTTAAACATAGCTGGGCACAGTGGCACATGCCTGTAATCCCAGCTGCTGAGGATGCTGAGACAGGAGGATTGCAAGTTCAAGATCAGCTTTAGGAATTTAGCAAGGCTCTAAGCAACTTAGTGAGAGCCTTTCTCAGAATAAAAAGTAAAAAGGACTGAGATGTGGCTCTGTGGTTAAACCACTGGGTTCAATCCCCAGTACCCAAGAAAGAAAAAAAAAGTTTTAAAAATAAAGTCACCAGTAATTCTGTTAAGTATAGGCTTAAGATACATAAAAATTTATGCACTAATGTTCATAGCAGCATTATTTGTTAAAGCTCCAGAGAGAAAAAAAACTAAATGTTCATCACCTGATGAATGGATAAATACCATGTGGTACATCCATACAATAAAATTTTCTTTGGCAAGCAAAAACAAAAATTAAGTATTAAGTATTCATAAGACTACACATAGATGGATCTCAAAAATATTACACTAAGTGAAATAAACTGAACACAAGTGAGTATATAGTATATGATTCTATTTATATGAAAAGTCCAGAGCTGGCAAATTTATGAAGACAGAAAGATTAGTGATTGCTTAGAGCCTAAGGGGAAGGGAGAGATAGTGCTGTTAATGGATACATTACCCTCTGAGGGGGAAGTTAGGATGGAATGTTCTAAAAACTTATTATGGTAATAGTTGTACAACTATGAACATATTAAAAATCACTGAATTGTATACACTTTAGAATAGGTGGATTCTATATTATGTGAGTTAAGCTGTTTTCATACACACACACACACACACACACACACACATATATATATTGTATATATGAAAATAAAGAGTAAATTTTCCTTTATCACACTGTGTTGTCTAACAGAACTATAATTTTCTTCATAAACTTGGTTTTTAAAATCAGACCATGAGGGTAGCCAGGTTGAATGGGTCCTTTCAGACTGTTCTAGACAGTTGATTACTAAAATGGATCTTTTTGAATGTCCAGTTATCTGAATTGGAGAAAAACCTCAAAATGCTCAGAAAATATTAGGGATGAAGAAATCGGGGAATGAATCAATACATGGAAATTCTTTTTGCCCCAATAGTCTCAATGTAGGCTATCCACATTTTTTCGATTTTGGTTTCATCCTGTGAATCTGTTTTAGGAGATCTTGTCTCCAGGTCCAGAAGCCAGTGCATACAGAGCTGGCCACCAATAACCTGCAGATTTGAAAAAAAAAAAAAAAAGAGAGAGAGAGAGAGAGAGAGAGAGAGAGAGAGACTATTTGTATTGATTATCAGTAATAGTTGGTTTCTGTAAGTATTTCAGGAACTAGTCCTTTGGACTGGCTGGAATTGTGGCAAATTCACACTGTGTTAAACTTTGGGTTGTCTTCCTTTTTCTTTTTTTTTTTTTTTCCTTTTTTTGGTACTGGGGATTGAATTCAGGGGCACTTTCCCACTGAGCCACATCCCCAGTTTTTTTTTTTTTTTTTTTTTTTTTTTTGAGAGAGGGTCTTCCTTAGTTGTTTAAAGCCTAATTTGCTGAGGCTGGTCTTGAACTTGTGATCCATCCTGCCTCAGCTTCCCAATTGCTGGGATTACAGTCATGTGCCACCATACCAGGCCTGACTTTCGACTTAATGTTGGACGCATTTATGGAGTCAGACACTAAGCTTGTGTGCCATGAGGTCACATGTCACATGCATTTATGAAGAAAGGAAGATAACCTTGAAAATCCTGAATGCATAAACTTGGTTTTTAAAATCAGACCTTTTAAAATCACTGCCATTTCCCAGTCTTAACACTTCTTTCCTTCTAGAAACCTGGGCTAGTTCCTTTTATGACCAAGCTGTGGCATTTGGGCAGTTCCTTAAGTTTGTTTTAAGTATTTGCAGTAAGTTTAGCTCCTGTGTTTTCCTGACTGGGGTGGGTTTGGGTGTCTCCAGGAAGTATTTCTACCTCTCCCTTGCTCTCTTCTGTTTGAGTGGCCCACTCTCCACACCCCTGCCCCCCTTCTTCTTTCCTTGTCTTTTCTTTTTCAGTTTGATTTGGTTAATTGCTTCTGCACTGTGGTGCTTTCCCAAAACTGGATTAGCAGCAACATAATAGCAGTAACCCTTTAATTACCAGAGTAATTTTCTTTACACATTGTTTTGAACTTCAGCATTTATAGATAGCTGCTGTAAAATTCAAAGGTAAAATGATAGGTGACTGTTTCCTGCTTTTACAAGGACCTACAGAGAGTGTTGTAGGGCTTTAAAAAAGCGGTGAGAACTGAGACAGGCCTTGCCTCCATTTAAACTGTTGGGTGCAGAGCAGGCTGAACAGATGTTGGCTGCAAGATAGCCCATGCACTCAAACCCCCCTCTATCTGGTCCTTTATCACCTGTTTGCCTCAAGTCTGAACATTCAACCCTGCTCAAGGCTGAACACTTAACCCCCCCTTGGGCCAACAAGGCAGCTTGCAGACCCAGAGGCCCCATTAGATTTGGGCTATAAAAACTCCCTCCTGCCAGGCCCCCCTCTCTCTTGCTCTCTCTCTCTTTCTCTCTCTCTCTCTCTCTCTCTCTCTCTCTCTCTCTCTCTCTCTTGCTCCCTCTCTCTTGCTATCTCTCTTGCTTTCTCTCTCTCCTGCATGCGCTTCCCCCCCCCTTCTTTCTTTTCTCTTTGTTGCACTGCTGCAATAAAGATCTTTTGGTTGCTTGAGTGTTGTGGTCACTTTCCTTTCATTGGTACCGAAACCCGGGAGAGGGTTAAAACCCACTTTTGGGTCCCTCTTCCTTTGGAAGTGCCACTCACCGGATGGCCTGAACCCAGGCCTGAACCCATTTTCTCGACTGCCAGAACTCCATCCACCACCAGCCTTCGATTGGTGAGTTTTCCCTTCCTGGAGTCCTAAACCCAAAGGTGGTGTCAGGAGGATTTGACCATTGATTGTCTGGCAAACCTCTTTGCCCACCTGCGGGGAGGAAAACACCCCACCACAGCCTTTAAGGCTACGGTGGCCCTCAGGGACTCCTTCCTAGGGCAGAATAGACTCCTGGGTTCAAAATTATTCCCTTCCCGTCCCAGCTGTTAGTTACCAGCATAGGCTTTGTAGGTCTCCCTCGAAGGACTGTGTAACCTCTGGCGACACATAACAGAGAACTGAACATCACACCCAACCCAGACCTTCACCATCTTGGTGGCTCTCCTAAAGTCCTAGTCCTCAGACGCTTACCCTCCCCTTCCTCTCTCTTCCCCTGTCTCTCTCTTTCCCCTCTTTCCGGCCCTGGGAGTATCCGGCCTCTCCAGGAGGGGGTCCCGAAAAGCCTTGGCCAAGGTCTCCCACGGCCCTGGCTCCGTCCAGGACGAGAGCTTCGACTGTCAGGATTCCGTGACGACCAATCTCTGCAGCTCGAACCTGCCACTAAGGCACTCCTGATTTTTGGCTCTAGCAGGGACGCCCCTTTTGCCAATAAATCAGTTTCCTCCTTCTCTCTTATACTATGGTTGCATCCTCTTCCTTCTCCTCTAAACTGTTTGCGTCCCCTTCCCTCCTCCTTATACTACTTTGCGACTTGGGTAATGTGTCCTCTCTACCGGTCGACTCTCCCCTACAATGCCTCTTGGATAACCTCAAAACCCTCTCCTTGACACCAGACATCAAACCCCCCAAATTGATCAAATATAGCACCCGGGCCTGGCCTACTTATCCCTTAGACAACCAAAGCAGATGGCCCTCCTTTTGGGTCCCTGGATCCCTCCATTCTAAGGGATCTCTACAATTACTGTGAGCATTTGAAAAAATGGGTAAAAAGCTGCTATATCAAAGCTTTCTTCTTGCTTGTGCTCTCTGCACCTCTTGCAGACCTCTGCAAATTCTTCTAGCTTGCAAACCAACACCCACAACCACTGACCCCCAATCTTCTCCTCCTCCGGACTCATCCACTACTTTTGACCCTACTGATGAATTTCCACCCTATGGCCCGGCTCAAATAGTCCTCATCCTCAACCTTCTGCCCCAGCCCCTCCACTGTCTCCCCCACCTGAACAACCTGACTTCTCCTCTCCACTCACTAGATCAAAAACTAAACAACCGCCTTTCCTCAAACCATTGCCTCTTTCCTGAGGTAGCAGGTACTGAAGGAATCCCTTCACCCACTCACTCCTCTCTTCTTCTGTCAGCGCCCACACCAGGTGCCACCAGGTCCTCTTACCAACTAACCCAAAGCTCAAACAAGCTGAGGAGAGCCCTTGGACCCCTATCAGAGATCTGGTGAAAGTGGCCTTTAAAGTTGCTTTGTCATCACTGAAAACAGGTTACTAAGAATCGTCCCTTACAGCCTTTTTGGGATATTCACTCCCATCCTCCCCTCTGCTCTACCTGTTCTACTGGTCAAGTTTTCCTTGCTAGGGAAAATCCTATTCTTTTACATCACTCCTTCCTCATTCTCAGATCCACCGAGCTGCTCTCAGCCCCGCCTTCCCATCTTGCCCTCCTTACCCAGGCCCACAGAAAAGGTTTAACTGACCTTCTCCAGAAATCTTCACCATGGCTGATTTTAGGACTTTCAGCAAAAGAATCTCTACAAAAAGTTCAATGTAGATAAACTTCCTATTTTCCCGTTGCCCTGTTTTATTTGGTCACTGGCTGGAAAAATCAGCACTCGAAAAGCTGGACACCCCCTTACTAGTTTTTCACAAAATATGTAAAACAAGGCCTCTGGCCTTGAGCTGGGGCTTCACAGAGAAGGCTACATGTCTAAGATAAGGAGGTTACCAACTGGGCTCCATGATAACAGCTGGAGGGGATGGGGAGGGTGGGGGGAAGAGGAGAGAAAGGGAAGAAAAAGCTCTCCCCCTCCCAAGTGTCCTTGAAGGGTTAACTTGCCCAGAACAGAGGAAACAAAACAAAACAAAACTGCTTTTTGTGAACTTCTGCAGACTGCGAACTTCTGAGCCCCTTCCCTTACATGTTGGGTACAAAATTCTGAAACAACCTAAACTTGGGGTTCAGGGGATTAATTGATTACAACAGAAGCAGTGCCCTCTGAATCCGGTTGCAACCAAATAAAACTGTTTCCCTATCTTCAGTACTATCTTAGGTGCCTTGCCTTGTCCGTCCCTACAACAGTATAATTCTATATACTTAAACATTGTTCATGTTTTCATGAAATGGTCAACAGATGTGATTAATTGTGTGCTGCAAATAACAAAATATCTCTTATTAAAATGGAATAATTTGCCTAAATTATGAAATTTACAAGGATTATTTAAAAATGTAAAAAAAGAAAGAGTTAACAAATAGGAAAGAGAAATTAGAAGGTTCTAGATATGGATTTAATAGAAGGAAAATGTGTTTCTGGATAAGAGAGTCTATTATGTAAATAAGAGGGTTTAAGTAAGTGCTAAAGAAGGTCTATATATACAACTATGGTTAAACAACAACTGTTATTTTGCAATATTGTAATATGTTATTTCTTTAAAAGCTAAACTTGATTAATATAAAAACATCAATAATAATTGTGGTACTATTACTCTTCTTTGTATATTAAATGTGTTCATATTTTCCAGGTATATGTCATTAAGATAGAAGCTTTAAAAAAAAAAAAAACTATATCAAGTTGGTGTTCTCCAAAAGGTTGCATGGTTATTTTAGGCTTATAAAAATAACATATCGGAGATTTATTTATATCATTTAATGTTTTATAACTGGACCTGTTATCAATAAGATTAATATAAAGTTCTATACACTGGGTACAATTTAAATGTAATATACTGTATTACCTAGTATTCATGTGACATCAAGCAACAATATATGTAAATTTTATAAAATAATATTTTTTTAAAAAAAGATCAGCTTCAATACTAGAACACTTTACCTAAGATTTATAAATCTTAGCCTTACCTGGGATAAGGCTGTGCTTCCCATCTTACTACATGTCAGAATGACTCCAAAGTAGGCCAGACTTCAGCTAAAGCCCAATACTCTTAATTTAGGGTGAAACTGACTTTGCTGGATGTTTATGATCAAGACTTAAAGTTAAATTAAAATGGCCAAGAAAACCAATATTTGGCTCTGGCCCTCTGAGTCAGTCTGAATCCAGGGAACAGGGAACTTCTCTAAAGAGCTTTGCAACTCTGGGCCATATAACCTCCTGATCAGGGAGATTAATGAGACCACTGGAGAATGAAAAGCCAATCAGTGCATTTGCTGTGAATAGGAGGGTCATTGGAGACAGGAGACATCCCTGATGCTTCCAAGGGAAGCCACATGGTCAAGCAAGACCTGGACCCATCCTAGCGCAAATGGCACTAGCAGAACTATGAAGCTGCTCTCAGGTTCCCCCATGAGCGACCCCTATGGGAACTCGGCTGACTCTTAACAATAGATAGAAACAAAGTCAATTTTGACCAACTTGATCTTAAACACCTACCAAAAACAGTTAAGCCAAAACACAGTCATTCCTGGGAGTAATAAAGGACAAGAACAGCTAGAAAAGAGGAGACAGCAACTAAGCCAACAGGCTCCATGGGGAATGCTCAGTTAAGTATGGCCTTGGCTCCTCCCCCTCACAGGACCCCTATTAGTCCTCTCTATGTTTCTCCTAATAGAACCATGTCTATTAAATTGCCTACAGAAGTTCATGCAAGATCAGATACACAAATTCACCAACAAGCTGGTCAATCAACTACTTCTTTAAGACTACCAGCCCTGATGCCCAAGATGGACACCTACGACTCATGACCAACTCCTCTGGCTCCAGAGACACTGTGCCCATCTAAAACCCTCTCTAACCCCTTTTTCCAATTTTCACAACCCCTCTTTCACTTCCTAGGAATGAGAACTACTCTCCAGCACGTCCACTCTGCTTATTCTGTCTGCTCTACAGTATCCCCACAAGGAAGCATCAAACCTAAACTCCCCCTGGTACCACCATGTCTCCCACCTTAAAAAGGCACTTGTACCAAATGTCCAGTCTTGGACTTCAACCATGCCCACCAAACTCAAAATTTCTTGCCAACCCTCTTCTTCTTTTACTAATCATTATTCTCTCTCAAGTTTTTATCTCAAACCACAGATGCTGCTTCTACATCCAAGCAACATGACACCAGGATGACACCACCCACTCTCAGTTTATGGGTCAAGGCGATTGCCCTTCCACTGGCTGCAATCAGGCTGTCACCCTTAACATTACTGGATTCAACCAAGCCACCTCCAATACTTCCTAGAGTCCCTGCTACAGGACCAGTGGCTGATACCAAGAATCTCCTCCATCCAGGACTGGTTTGATGCCATCGAGGACTTGTGGCTTCAAGGAATTTTTATGGACTTTACCCCTACCACAGTAGTTGTCTGTAGCCACTGAGTGTTATTTCTGGCTGCCCTGGTGTTCCCAGACCTGTCCCCTGAACATTCCTCCACTTCCCCTTCTAGGTCTAACACCACCCACCATTAAGCAGGAAGTAGCCAGAGGACTTTATGCCGTCCCCCATGTCACTTAGAAAAACAAAAAGGGAGGAATGTTGGGTGCAGAGCAGGCTGAACTGTGTTGTCTGCAGGGCAGGCTGAACAGATGTTGGCTGCAAGATAGCCCACGCACTCAAACCCCCCTCTATCTGGTCCTTTATCACCTGATTGCCTCAAGTCTGAACATTCAACCCTGCTCAAGGCTGAACACTTAACCCCCCCTTGGGCCAACAAGGCAGCTTGCAGACCCAGAGGCCCCATTAGATTTGGGCTATAAAAACTCCCTCCTGCCAGGCCCCCCTCTCTCTTGCTCTCTCTCTCTCTTGCTCCCTCTCTCTTGCTATCTCTCTTGCTTTCTCTGTCTCTCTCCTGCGTGTGCTTCCTCTCTCTCTCTCTCTCTCTCCTTCTTTCTTTTCTCTTTGTTGCACTGCTGCAATAAAGATCTTTTGGTTGCTTGAGTGTTGTGGTCACTTTCCTTTCATAAACAAATTACAAATCCAATGACAATACTAAAGTAATATTTTCAAGATTCTTCAATCTAACTAAGAATGATAAATAAATCAAATGATGATTTAGTGTTATATACATTTTGATTTCTTTGTAATCTGTTTCTGACCTTCTGTCTTCTTGAACTGCAATAGTAAAATTGTTAAAACAGAGGGAATGAAGGTGAAGGCCTTGCTATCTTGGGAAGTTTTCTATTTCAATTGTTAGTCATGTGGCCTCTGTAATTTCTTACTAGGCTATATAAAGGCTCATAAAACTGCCTCTTTGTGATATGACAGGCTTAATGATTATCCTAAAGTGGTCTAAGGCACCTGGATAAAAAGGTGGTCATAAAGAGTGATGAACACAGTTCTCAGAAATATTTAAAACTTGATTTCTAAGAGCTGTCCAGCTGGTAGAAGGCAAGTTACTCTGAATCTGGTTGATTCCTATAGGATCACATTTTTTATTTATGTAGAGCTTGCTTATACAACTTTGGCAAGACATAGGATGTTCAGAATTGAGGGGAGGTGCCATTTATAGTGCAGAGGACAGGTCACACTAGTTTCTACTGGAAACCTGCTCTCCAAGGACTATCCAAAAAATAGCAACAACAGTGGAGGGATTGTGGAAGATCCTGGTTAGGCTAGGCAATAGATCTAGAAGTCTTGCTAAAGCCCAGCAACTAGTGACATCCTTGATGTGTTCAGAAACACAACAAGCTTCAGGCTAGCATTGTGGGCAAGGTTCAGGCCCTAATAGCATTGACATTTATGGTAGGAATGCTCATTATTGTTTGAGCAGAACAAATGGATTTCCTCTATGTTGAGGAGAGTATGTGTACACCAATCAGTTTTTAGACTTGTACCAACAGACAAGACAAACCCACAAACATGATTTCATACTATAGTGAAATTATTTGAACCCAACACAGAAATCAGAACGTTCAAACGAAAGATACTCAGTGAACAATTGCAACTCATTTATTCAGCTCCATCATTCAAGCTCTTTTATTTCACAGAGGTTTATTGAGTGCCCATTCGGTAGTGGGCCCTGCTAAGTTATCACGGACGGACGTGGTTCCGAGGGCGTCGATAGTCTAGTCTTATGAGAGAGGGAGTCTTAAAAAAAAAAAAAATTCTTGCATGCATCATTGTTACTGAGATTGCACCGGGAATGGACTAGCCCTTCACATTCTCTCCCACGTGGTACCGGCAGGTGAGCGTGGGTGTGAGCGCGTGCGGCTCTTGGTGTTTGGGCAGTGTGCGAGAGCACGTGTGTCAGAATGGCGCGTGTCACAGTGCGCGTACTGGTGTCGCCGTGGTACGCGTCTCCATAGCCGCCCCAGCCGGCTGTGTAGGTCGGGAGAAGCTTGTGTCTCCCGCCCGGGTACCGCAGCCGGCACGGGAACCACCCAGCGCGCGATTGTGAGTGAGCGTGGGCGCGCGGGGGGCGGGGCGCGCCGCGCTGGCGGTGCCGCGCGCAGGCGCAGAGCGCGGGAGCCGGGCCAGCCACCGCAGAGTGCCGGGGGCGGGAGGAGCGAGCGCAGGAGGCCATGGCTGCCGCTGCCGCCGCCGGCTGCTAAGGGGCTCGGCCGGTGAGCGCCTGCCGCTACGGACGATGGTGACCGCACGGGCCGGGCCGCTGCCGCCGCCGCTGCCTCCGCCTCCCAAGACGCCGCAACCAAGGCCCGGCGCCGAAGAGCCGCCGCTGTGAGCCGCGCCGTCCCGGCCCCCTCCGCCACCGCCTGGAGAGGACAGGAGGGCAGGCAAGAGAGCCGGGGAGTTGCGGAGACCGTCAGCCAGCAGCGCCGTCCCGCTGGGAGGAAGGCTGCAACCAGAGGTGACCGCGCCGCCCAGCCCCATCGCATCCCGGCGCCCCCGCCCGCTTCCCTGGTCTCCCCTCCCCTCCCCCATCCGGTCTCCCGCTCCTTCCTCTTCTCCCCCTTCGCTCCTTCCCGGCTCACCTCCCTCCTCCTCTTCCCGGCCTCTGCGGGGTCCACCTCTCCTCTAAAACCCGCGCCCCCTGCCTCTCATCCTTCAACCCCTCCCGCGGTCCCAGGGCCCCTACCGGCCCCTTCCGACTCTGCTTCCCTCCCGGAGCCCAGCGCGGGGGCCCCCTCCTCCTTCTCCGAGGCCGCGGCCGCAGCCTCCCCACCCTCGCATCTCTTCGCCTCTCCAGCGCCTGGAGATGCCCCTCACATTCCTGAGATGCCCTCACTCTGGGTTCTCTCCGTTAGCCTCTCCAGCGGTCCATTTCAAGGCCTTTTCCAACTCCCTTCCTGAACTACCCGTTCCCAGCTCCTTTTCTCCGGATTCTGTTTCCAACTTTACCTCTCAGCATCTTTGTCCACTTTGCCTCCAGGCTTCCCTCCCTCTCTACTTCGCCTTTGCCCTTCATGCGTGTACCCAGCCCCAGACTGCATGCGTCCAGGCAGCGTAAGAATTAGGGGTGCAGACAGGCCTGCCAAGAGTGGGGACCCGTCGCTTTGCATCCCGTCTGTTAGTACCCCCCCCCCTTTTTTTTTTAACAGTAAGAGTGCTGCTGCTCATCCCTTTCTTTTTGTACCCGCGGTTTCCTCTCGTGCTGGCTGTTCCTCGGGCCTCCCTCTCCAGTTCTGCTTTGCACACCTAAGAACCCTGAGATTTAAGCCCTCCCTTGTGGCATGACTCCCCAGTCTGTACGGAAATTATGAACTTCGCCCGCATCTTAGTCGCAGGCCTTTTGTTGTGTGGCGCGGCAGAGCCTGCACCCTTGGCTAGACAGGAGGGGAGCTCCCGGGCCTCTTTCCTGGCAGAGTTTTTGCTGAACGTAATCCCCTAGCCCCGGGGCGGCCGCAGCCGCATTGTTGCTGCTGCTGCTGCTGCTGCTGCGCTGCCTGCTTGCCGCGAGCTGGCTTGGGGTTACTATAGTTCAAGCGCTTCTGAGATCAGCAGGCGTGGGGGGAGGAGGTGCGGGGAGAGGAAGGGGCCATCGCAATGAGAAAGCATCAAAGATTAATGGATGGCTTTGCATCAGAGTCTGCAGTAAACAGGAAACTAGTCTGAAAGGAAAGGAGAGGACTGTGTGTCTTTTTTATTTTTTAAAATACGGAGTGTGCAGTTCTGTTGAATCTTGAATCGTGCCCAAAAGGATGAGCTGTCGGTGCTGCAGTCGTGACCCAAGCTGAGCGCCCGATGGCAGAGGTAGCACTTTTTATTTTCTGTCTGATCCTTAAATTAAAAAATGGCCCTTGTATTTCAGGGCGGACTCTTTGACGTATTGGGAGATGATAAGAAATCACAGAATTGCTAGTAGTTTATATGGAATTCAGGTATATACAAAGTTAGCTAGCAACGAGTGGGAGTGGGGAGGACCAGCTATATTTAAAACATGTGCCAATGCTTATGTAAGAAGTGCGTTCTCTTTCTTGATATCTCAGTTCTGGGCTGAGTTTAGGCTTTATCTTTACTCTTACATTTTCAGGTCTTATCATCCTAACAGATGGACAGTCAGAAAAATCTGTTTCTTAAGATCAGTTTGGGGGCCTGGGTTGTGGCTCAATGGTAGAGCGCTTGCCTAGCATGTGTGAGGCAATGGGTTCCATCCCTGGCACCACATTAAGAAAATAATAATAATAAAATAAAATACAGGTATTGTCTATCTACAACTAAAAAAAAATATTTAAAAAAAAGATCAGTTTGGTTGATGGTAGAATTTTCTTTTTTTAACAGGTTGGGACAAAGCAAGGAGATTAATGATAAATGACTTTTTTTTTTCCTTTTGGTGTGGGAAAAGGGTGTAGAAACTTCCAGTCTAATTTGCCTATATTATCAATTATCTAATTATCTAAATTGTTAGTAGCCTTACATTGAATCTTGTGTCGTTCTTATTTCTGCTTTGTCTTTTTAAAAGGCAGTTTAGGAGATGCGAGATACTGTTAATTTTTTTGGTAAGATCATATTTTCCATTTCTGTTTTTTATTTAACATGGATTTTCAGTGGAGATCAACTGTGATTTTAAAACTCTACCTTTTTTAAATTGTTTAGGATGGTTTGTTTGATTTCTTCATATTCAGAAACCAAAATGTGATACTCAGGAAATTATAGAAAGAGGGCCCTTGTGTTTCCTAACCCACGAATCTGAATGGTAAACTGGACATTATACTTATACAAGACATTACTGTGTTTGTAAGTACCCATTGCTGTTACCAAGTCTGGGAAAGTAATCTCTTGAAATTGTTAAGGTCTTGTCTGTTTGGGCAGCATTTATTGAACCTTTCCTGTGGTTTCTGGAAAGAAATGTTTTTGTTGTTATTTGTTTTGAGCTGTTTTACTGTGTAAAGCATATTTAAGTAACATTTAGTTTATATTACTTGCAGAGACATCATGTTGGAGTATTATTTTCCTAGTTCAAGGAGAAAATTTTAAGATCTTGTGGGGATGGTAAAGCAGTATAGAAAGTTTATAATTTGGTTTTGGCTGTATCAAACCTTTAAAATTGCTGTAAGCTCTGCTGTTTGTTTTCTAGGGTTATTTGGTATTGTTTTGGTTTTAAGAGAATTTTTGAATTCCCTCCAACTTTAGAAAATGCTCATTAGTCCTGTTTGACACTAAATTTGGTAAAAAAAAACTAAATAAATTAGATTTGAATCAAACACTATAGAGGTATAATCTCTTCAGGAAACAAGATTCCATTTTTACTTCATGTTAATATAATAGTGATTTGGCAGGAATGAATGAATTTAAGTCTCAGGAAACAAGATAACTATTTCAGAGTTTTGTGTGGTTATCAGTTTGTTGTGTGGTACTAGACTGTGGTGTGCAGTGTTTGTGATGGTCATCGCCTGTCATGTGTACTTGTACTTAGGTTCAAAATGATGAGGTTTGGAAATGTGTTTTTTTTTTTTCTAAAATATTTGCATTTTCTTACTAAAATACCACTCAGAAATAAACGAAACATTTAGTAAGTAATAAATTCATTATTAAATGAG